AAGTCAACGGTCAACGCTGGAGTCAACGCCGGAAGTCAACGGTCAATGTCGAAAGTCAACGATTTTTCACCGGAAGTCAACGGTCAACGTCAGAAGTCAACGGTCAACGCCGGAGTCAACTAATAATTATTTTATTATTTAATTAATATATATTTTAAGGAATGTACTCATTTTAAGGAGTGTACTCATTTTAAGGAGTGTACTCATTGGATCCTCCCCCTATATATATATATATATATATATATATATATATATATATATATAATTTGTATTTACCTAAAATAGTAATTAAAGTCCCGCAAAAAAATTACAATTTCAACCTTATTAGTAAGTTTTTATTTTTTATTTTTAAAAATACTTTTGAAAAGTGGAGACAAATCATTTGAAATTCAAATTAAAAAATCAATGTAATTAATTTACATAATCATTTTCGTCAAACATTGCGGCTATTACCTTTATTAGTTGTATAGTTTAAATTTTGTGTATAACATATTGACAAAAACTTGCACCTATTACCTTTATTAATTGCATAATTTAAATTTGATATATAATATTGACAAAAAAACAAAAATATTATTATTTAAAAATAAAAATCAAATAAACAACTATTCATAAATTACGAGTCAATATTAAGTTGGACATAAAATGTACTAATCAATAGTTTAATATGTTACTCAACTACTTAATTCTTTTTATTTTGATAATTTATACAAAATTAATTCATTTTAATTAATGAAAAAATATAAGTTTTATATTTATACTTATTATTCACATAAGTTTTTAATGATATGATAAAAATTTACCCAAATAATTTATGGAATCACACTATATTCAATTCAAATTTCAGAACAAAAATTTTGAAATGACACTTATTTTGAAATGACTATAATGTAATTTATCATTAGTTATGTGCACCGCACAGGTTGTGCTAATTTTAATATCCATTTTCATGTAATTTTACACAATTATAATTTTATTTAACATTCAATAAAATTAATATAGGTAAATAGTATTATATATTGATATCATATTCTTAACTTATAAATATGATTTAATAATAATTAATTGATAAATATTAATGAATATCTCTTACCTGTGCATCGCACATGATTCGTACTAGTACATGCATGACTTGGAGTAAACATCATCAAGCAGGTGCGCAAAAGACAAAAGACATGACTCAAACATGTAGATGCAAGTTTATATTTATACAATATTTGCTTCACTTTGTCATGTTTTCATATAGTATTTTTAAAACCAACAAATGTTGATAACTTATGTTAGTCTTGTTGTTTCCTTTGTCAAGTTTATATTGAATTATTTTCAATAATATCTTCCACCCACTTCCCCCCAAACAAAAAGAAAAACAAAATATTGGAGTAATAATTTAATTCATTTATCACCAAAAACGTATTTATAACTGTTTTTGTTTTCTTAATTTTCTGTTTGAGAATGATGAAAACAGAAGAAATTGACTTGAAATGTTATATATCAATAAAATCGCAGGTAAGAAGGTAAATCGAAAAAGATATATCCTAGTTAAAGTTTAGACTATTAGATTATTATTTAGTATTTTAAGCAAGTCTATATATATAATCTATGGGTATGTATTACCTTTGTTCGGATCAGTCTTTGTTCGTTTCTGATGATGTTGTTAACAATGTCACTATTGCTTTTCCCTCCAATTATGTTTTTCACAACTTAAAAGTTCTTCACACACAAATTTGTCACTTAGTCTGTACGTCTGCCAAAAAAAAAAAAA